ATCATCTCTACCATCTTTAATAACAATGGGAATTTGAGTTGCTCTTTCCTCTATCTCAGAATTAGTTGTCTTTGTACTAATCTAAAACAAAACGTGTGGAGTCATATAAAATAGTTCAATTGCTTTCTTTTGATCTCCAGATGTCAGGTTGCAAAATTTTACAATCTTTCCATTTTAGCAATATTTGGTTGAGTGTATAAATTCTGAGCCCTGCTTGGGGTCACCTATAAATAAACTGCTTCTTCACTATGCTCTGCAAAATTATTTTAAACTTACCTTAAATTTATACCATGACTTGTAGAATATTTCAAATTGTCTGCCTTGATTTTCAAACATTAAAAGATTTTCTAAATATTTTAACTATTGTAGATTCCAAGTCACTGTTTTATTTGTGGCAGAGTGCTCTGCAAAATTTCTGCTATTGGTATTTAGAGAGACTTTTTTGTGACCCAGAAAACAGTTTTGGTCATCATTTCACAGACATTTTAAGAAAACATACACTTTGTTTTTCTGACTGTAATTTAGTATAGTCATTGGTAACATATTGGTAATCATTGGTTGCTTGTGTTGTGTAAACATTTTACTTCTATTGAATTGTTTCTATGTTTTTTATTAATACTTATACTTAAGTATTATTATATTTATATTAATATTATATTATTATATTATATATTATTATATTATTATATAATATTATATAATATTATATTAATATTTATACTTAAGTATAAAGGTATTGTTAAGTTTTAACGTTTATTTCATGTTCCCAATTTCTCTCTTTGTTTTATGTAATTGAACAATTTGAGCTTTGGTATATTTTAGGATTATTGTATCTGAATGATGAATTAATATTTTTATTCCTATAGAACCTTTCTTTTCATCTGTATGATAATACTAACTAGGAGGTTACTTTTTGATATTAATATGACCAGAAAGATTTTCTATTTGTGTTTTCATATCCTATTCCTTACATCTTTTAATGTCCTTGAATGTATACATTTAAATATATTTTATATCAATAACATTGAGTCCTCCTTTTTAGAAGTCCAACACTCTAGCACCTATCTTTTACTATCAGGCTTAGTCTATTTATATTTCACATATATTATTGGCATATTTGGTTTTTAAGCCACTGAACTGACCTGTTTATTTTGTTTATATCAAGTGTTTCTTACCTTCCTATTTGTTCTCATTGTATCATTACTTCTTTACTAGTACCAACTAATCACTCATATACCATGGTGAACTGACTCCTAGATTCATAGACACACAGTGTCATTACTCGGGTGTTTGCAGGAAGATTCTATTCTATATCTGTGTCATAGGGAGAGAAACATTCTTTCTTGAAGGGAACAGGGAGACTGAAGAGGCTCATGAAAGTTGTAAGAACAGGAAACTCAGCACGCTTACAGGACTCACATAACTCATGCTAGAATTACCCAAATAGCATGCAATTGCTTGAGGGAAAAAACACCATAAGGTAGATAACTGCTTTAGACTCATATAGGGAGTTCCAGTGATGCAGTTGTGTGAATAGTCACTCATGCTGGGGTAAGACCTCTTAGTTGTGAAGCAACCATTGTCTTACCTGTCCCCTGTGATCAATTCCCATAAGGTCATTATTTCTTTCATGGTCAATCTTGTCAACTTTGTTGGATCTGGAGTCACTACAAGACACATATCTGTAATTTATTAGGGTATTTTTTTTGAAGGATTAATTTTTGGAGAGACCCTCCCTTGGAATGAGCAATGTTTTCTACCAGCAGCTCAGCCTGAAGGACAAGCTGTTGATTTTTACCTTCCCGCCTGTGTTCTTGCCTTGCTGACAAGTGCGTCTCCTTTGTGACTGCCACTACAGCTGTTGGCCTTTGCTGAGATTGGCATCTGACTGCTTTGGCTTGTTGAGAACTACTGCAGACCAGTGACTCTCAAGAGTGGGACTAAGGCACTCTTTCTTATAGACAGAGCAATTACCAGGTTCTCAACCCCTTCGGCTGGCAGACAGCCATTGTTAGGTTGCCCAACCTGAACAGTGTCAGCCAATATAATAAATCCCTTCTGTAGTATATGCCCACCCTAGCCATTCTGTTTATCAGGAAACCCCCGCTGACACAAATTGATTAAGCTGGACTTAGACAGAACTGTTTCTTTAGTTAATTGTTGCACTCTCTCTCTGGTATGAATAAACCTTACTGTACATTTGCTCAGGAAAAAGAGCGCCACAGGTTCTTTGTTCCATAATGCATGTCTGGGTGAAACTCACAGTGCAGGGTAGCTTCTGTTAATCCACTAAAGTGGCTAATTACAGGAAATGCTTTATGAAGTAGCAGGAGATGGAGAACTCTCTCCAATAAGTTCAGTGCATAAGCTATCACACATGGATGTGTGAGTTCTTGAAAAACAGAATCCAGCTGGAAGCTTGGCAAGGGTATTTGTTTGTCAAGGGTCCTTAACTTTACTCTATCAGAGTAGTTTCCTGGAGGCTCCATTTGAGATTAAACTGTGGTGAGCCAGAAAGGCTATAATAAACGATCAACAGAAAATAGGAAGAGTGTTCTTTTTGGAGTCAAGCATTTTTTTAACCAAAAATACATGTTGACAGTTTAATGGATTTTGAATGGGATAAAAATGAATAACCAAGATGACAAGTTCATAAAACTGTTGGACTCAACATGGTTCTGGCTTCATACATGTTTTTCTAATGATGCTATTCTTACAAGGAATTCAGCATGAGCACTGATGCAAATGCAGCCACAGAGAGGCGTAAGTGAAGGTCTCTTGGCACTCCTAAACACGTGTATCTGCCCCAGTCCCATACGTCCTAAACATATGGATCTGCCCAGCTCCCATTCCTCCTAAACAGATTCCATCCTGGTCAAGTCTTGTCTCATACCCTGACATCTACTGTCCAATAAAAGGGGACCAAAACAAAAGAAAAAAGAAAAATCCTTTGACATACACATTGAGGCTGGAAAAACAGTAACAAAGAACAGCCCATAAACTAATCTGGAGCAATAGGTAACTAGACTTGTGCAGAGCAAATGCCTGCTGATACTTATCTTTATTGTCCCACAGGGTTGTTTTGAAGCTTACGTAGTTACCACATATGATAAGCATAAATGGTGCCATACAGTAAACCAACATTTACTATCACCATTACTAACAAAGCTGGCCCTATTACGATGTTTTCAACAGGCTCTGGTGTGGAAGTGATTGGTTCACAACCCACACTAAATGTGAAAGTTGAAGCCTGAAGAAAATACTAATTATTGGAACGCAGTATTCCATAGGCTAGCTTATTCCAAATCAATTCATGAGGAAGACAATATAAGACAATTTTCACTCAGAGGAATGAATAAAACCCATGAATTCAAGTTACAATTCAAGCCACCAGATAGAAAATTAGGGGCTGAATATTGTGTTTAACTTTAACTCATGATGCTTTTATTCATCAGACTTGCATTTTAAAATGCCCAGCTATCTGCATTTACAGGCTTCACTACCTAGATGCAGAGCTGAGTCAAACTTCATATCCTATAAATTAGTGATGATGAACAATCAGCAATGAAAATCATCAAGGAAGCAGCGAGTGCAATGGTTCTCAACCTTCCTAACATTGTGACCCTTTAGATAGATCCTGGGGTGGTGCTGACCCCAGCCATAAAATTAGTGCATTGCTACTTCACAACTGTAATTTTGCTAGTTATGAATCATAATGTAAATATCTGATATGCAGCATATCTGATATGAGATCCCCATGGGAGTCACAACCCACAGATTGAGAACCACTCTGCTAGAACTTGTTTGGGAACCTCAGTAGCAGAAATGTCATTTCAGGCCTCTGAGCACTCCGATGGGACAAATGATGACAAGATCCAATTTTGAAATCATCATAGTATAGGAAAAGTAAACAAACCACTTCTGCATGCTCTACTAGAAACCCCTCATAATATCTACAATAATATCTACATCAACAATATTCAAATCAGACATGCTTCTTTCGCTATGTACTTCAGTAGAGTTCAAGAGTTTTAGGACCTGTGGCTTCATCGTAGAATTTTAAGACCGGGACCCTCCATGCAGGTCGAGGGCTATATGCTGTGTACAACTTCAGATCATCAGAAAACAACAGAAAGATGGATTCAAATTTATTTAACCATAAAATATCTAAAATTAAAAACTTCCATACACAATAATAAGCTTCCATACACAACTCTCGGAATTATACTGCAACGTTTCTTTTTCTTTTTTTTCAGTGAAAACCCTGCCAAATAACAGTATTTTCAAGAATAATAATAAGAAATTTAACAAACTTTTATATTTTAGTAACACTCAAAAGACATGTTTTCAGGAATCCAGATAAAAATAACAGCTGTAAAGAGTGAGAAATAACATCTGTACCATCTTAAGAGGAAAGAACCTTCTGTGTGATGGGAACCTCAGGACAGAAATCACCACACACATGTGCTTACATGTTGGTAAATGAGGCTCCGCTGTGATCTACAGAGTTTCCGTTGTTCTTTCCGACCACTCTCTACAGTAAGCACGAATGCCCAAAGCCCCTTTTACATTAATATAAGTACTGATGTCCATTGTGATATCATGCATTAATCAATGGGCAAGAGAATTAACTAGAAGATTAAGTTCAACTTTGGTATAACAAAGAGAAATTTGAAATTCCTTTATATTAGTATGCATTCCTCCAAGCTTATTTTCTCACAAATAGAATATAGACAGTATTTTTTTAAGGTAAGGTCTCATATAGCTGACTCTGCATTTACTATGCAGCTAAGTATAACCTTGAAATTATCCTCATATCTCAACCTCCCAAGTGTTGAGATTACAGACACATGACTCATGCCAACTTGGACTATTTTTGATTAGTACTATGGCTAACTAATCTATATTTCTTTACTTAACTATAATAATACAAATGTATATCATAGTTAATTCATAACTGTCCCGTTTTATAGTGTATTTTAAAGGCATGGTAAACTCACCTTAGAGAGGCCACCTACTTCCAAATAAAAGCAGATGATGAACACATTCCAGGTGACCCAGAGGGCGGTCCACACTGTATACTGGATAGCAAAGAGTTGAGAGAAAGAGAGAAAAGAAGTAGAGATGAAAACCACATATTTGAAATAAATCAGTAATAGAAATGTCAGTAAATATGTCCTTTGTGGGAAAAGAGGGTACAGTAAAAAAACCATCTTTTTATGAGGTACCCTAAGATTTAAAATTTGAAGTCCAGTTACTCCTACTGTTTTCAGTGTATGTCTAGAAGCTTAGACTTCTAAAACTCTTTTCTATCTTAAAGGTCCAACTTAACTCTGAGTGCTCATGTGATTTCTGTTTTCTGTGCATTACCTTTTCAAAAGAAGACAATGTGCAGTGTTCTGTGAGCCATCAGTATGCCTATACCTGTCTATGTATCTAGGTACTACCATAATCTTTACCTGCTATCTATCTACATCAGTATATCTAACTCTTCAGATAGATTAGACAGACAAATTTCCAGTTCATCATCATACATTGCCTAATTTTAGCGATTTAGAGACAATAGAACCTCCATATCTCTGCATGAAGACTGTGAGAATGGATATGTGTTGTAAAGTTTTCTAACTCTCCTCTGTTGTGTTATTTTATTAAAAATAAAGCTCATGCTCCTGTAATCAAATGGTGAATGTTTAACCATGTGAAATATCTTTAACCTCTCCTTGCTGTTTAGCCCGTATGGACCTGAGTGTGATTCTCTTCTACTTTACAGGTAATATCCACTTAAATGAATTAATAGAGGAGGAATTAAGAGGGGGTGCAAGAATTTCCCCAGAAAGAATTAATAGAATAGATTTCGAGGGGTGTGCTGGGGGGCAGTTGGGGTTAAGAACAGCAGGGATCAAGGAGGGGACAGAGGAGAAAATACTGGGAGATATGACTGGAATTGGGGGGCATTTTGCGCAATGGAAACCCCACTGAATCTATGAGAGTAACCTTAGCAATGACTCCTAGTAACAGGGGACACAAAACCTGAATATGGCATCTTCTGTAACTAGGCACGGCCTCAAGTGGAGGGATTGGGACACCATCCCAGCCACAAAACAACCTTCAACCTACAGTTTGGTCTGCCTGTTCTGAAACAGTAGTCTAGTATTATCATCATCAAAGAGACCAGAGCGACTTCATCCAGTCACTGATGGGAGCAGGTGCAGAGTCCCACAGCCAAACATTAGGCAGAGTTCGGGAAGTCCCGTGGAGGAGGGGAGGAAGGATTGGAGGAACAAGAAGGGTCAGGAACATCAAGAGAATATGTTCCATAGGATCAACTGACTGGAACTCATGGGGGCTCACAGAGATAAGGGAGCTGTAGGGGTGTGGCCTAGGTCCTCAGCATATATATTTTGCCTGAGTAGCTTAATGTTCTCATGGGATGCCTAACAGTGGGAGTGGGGGTGTCTATAACTCTTGTCTGCATTTGGAACCTTTTCCCCCCTACTGGTTAACCTCATCTTGCCTTAATATGGTATTATCTGCCTGGCATTATTGTAACATATTATGGCATGTATGGTTGATTTCCCTGGGAGGCTTTCTATTTTCTGAGGGGAGACAGTGAGAGACTCTGGGAGGCGGGAAAGGAGGGAATGTGGGCAGGATGTAATGTATGTGAGTAGAATAAAAAAATAATGAATAAAAATGTCTCTAAAAATCTCAGAAATTAATAACTAAGAGAATAAGCAAATAAATAGCAGATTTCTATTATGAAAAATACCTTTCATTCACATCCTGCTGGGAAAGGTCAGAAACAACCTCAGTAAGAGCATTAGTCAAACTGATTTCATATACTGGAGATTAGACGCCTCCATGGAGATGCAGGGTCCTAGATAACCGGAGGTTGTGTGTGTTGTAAGCACAGCTGACTGGTTAAATTCAATAGTTTGCAAGCTCATCTTAGTGTACTGGAAAAATCTATGAATTCTTGAAATAGGCATGTAAGTCAAATCATTCTTCTCTATGAGTGATTTCAACCATTGCAGCCTGTTCTTAAAACAACATTTTGAATTTATTTCCCTTATATTATCTTATCTGGGTCAAATGACCGAAATATGAACTTTGGGTACTACATTAAATACTATGATTTTATCAAATGTTTACTAAAAGTGTTTATAAGATTCAAGTTACAGTGCATTTGTAGTGATGATTTTAAAGGGATTACAAATGATCTCATGCAGATGTCTAGACTGTGTGAATATATTTGACATAACATTATTCTTTTCTGGGAGTGTTTTGCCTTTTGAAAAAAAAAGATAATAAAATAATGTAGGGCTCCATAGTCACTGTGATTTTATATTAGATCATGTTATAGAGGTCACATACATAGTGATAAGTTGTAATGGTTTAGGTATTTGTAGCTGTTACCAAAGGCATTCAAACACATTTTTCTGAGCCATGCACTATCCCCATGGATACTGAAAGGAGCTTATCTACATCCTTAATGGGATAAATTTATACATCACAACTACAGAAATAAAGATGCTCTGCTAATCAGAGGGCAGCTAGCATGATGATGCACACTCCAAATTAATTAAGTGTCTCAGAGTAGGCCAGCAATGCTGAATATCAAGTCGGGAGGACACATCAGTGAAAACGGATAAGGAAACACTTCAGCTGAGGCCAAGACTGATCCACAACAGATGGTTTTTTTTGTTTGTTTGTTTGTTTTTCCTATACTGGGAACTAAAGCAGGCCCTTGAAGATTCTAGGCAAGCTCTCTATCATGGGACCACATCCCATGAAAAACCATCATTCTTCATCATTACACCCCAATTCTAAATCCCTAAGTATTGAGAATGTCCACAGTGTAACTAAGGTAAAATAAAACAAACCATTTTCAAAAATCCCAGCACAAACAGCACCTGAAGGGAACTGAGTATCTCCTGTAAATTGTATTATAGATTCTGATTCTGACCTTTTACAGACACCGGTGGTAACTGTCTAGTTCTACACATTTGGCTGCAACAAATGCCATTATGACACTTCCTGTGTTCCTAGTTCCAAGTGGCATATCATTTAAGTTCTTGTATTAAACCCCTGAAGAATGGGTCATCCTTTGATACCCTATAGAGTGTCAGGGTTGTCCCATGAAACCTGGCAGTCTGCTCCAGAATCAGCATGCTTAATTTGCTAGTCTTTATTGCAAACCATCTTAGCAAAAGGACTCTATAAATTGACCCTTCTCTAAAGTTTTCACTTCATTGGATGACAAATGAATCAAATGCCCATTTTAATAAAATTTCGTTCATTTATATAAATTCTCTAACAATGTTTTATAATTTGTAGTTGATATGTCACATGTGGTAGGAACATGACAGGTTTTTGTTGGGGGAATGGAAAGTTCCATCTATGCTGCTGGTTGAAAGTGATGACCGCATTAGTGAATTTTGGTTTGCATGAAATTATAAATGACACACTTCAATATAAGAGACTGCATGGATCACAGACATGCAAATGTTAACCTTAGTGAGACCAATCCATGGATGGGCATTTTCCCTGTCAGAAAAAGTAAGTTGTCACCTTCGAGACTGACTATCCATTTTGCCTTGTCACGGAAGTGGGTTATTTTAATTAACAATTCAGTTGTTATGATATTTATAGAGCAATATGACCTATTTTTGGCAAATACCTTTTGGTTAGTATAGAGCATGGCAACAGACTTGTATATGTATGTGGGTTAGATAGAAGTATAAATGACTTGGTTTCTTCATGTTAAAATTAACTGCATAATCTCCCCCCCCTTTTGTTTCCTTAAACTGAGTATACATATTTTAAGTCCTATTCCCACAGACAATGAGTGCATGGGGTTATGTGATTTCCTAAACATTTCCTCATCTGATGAGGATATGTTAGCATTTGGTAATTGAAATAAACACTTTATAAATTTTCCAGTCTGCATCTCCACCATTGAGCATTAGTCTTTAAAATGAATGATTTTTACTAAAGCAACATTTGCTCACAATATGCCATGAAACAAATGGGATAAGCTCTTTGCTTCTCCATTCTTCTGCTCTCTCCTAGCAATTAGCACTTTTTTTCTGAGAAAAAAAAGGGAAACCTACCATCCTGGTACCTTATTAGTAAGGAAGGCAGAGTGAAGGAAAAATAAAATAATTAATAGTTACAGTTAATCATGTATCAAGAATCAGTCTAGGCTAGGCCAGATCAATCCTGCCACGTATATTCTGACTACTCAAACCAATCTATGAATTGGGTTGTATAAAGGAGGTAAATATGACAATTATAAATCAAATCAATGTTCCAGTGCTTCACAGACAGGAACATATGGAATAAAGTCACTTCATCTAAAAACCTTAAATTCGTTTACTATTTCTTCATCAAACATCAAGACTGAGGTAGAATACGGCAGTAGGGGTGGGGTGCAACAGTTCTGCACATGCTGATACAGTGTGAAAAACAGAGGCTGTGCTCATTATGTCGGGGAAATCAGGAAGTGACCAGAATCTGTGCTAATAGCCAGGACTAGGCACTTAGTCCTGACTAGGTAAATAGTATAGGACAAGCTTTTACTAAGGGACAGTTGAGCTAAGGGAAGATTCAAAATGTGCCCCTGAGGAAGCAAAGGAGCATGTGGCCCATAGAACTCACCAGAGGTAATTGAGAGGAGGGCAAAATTCACAGAAAAGCAAAGAAACAATTTTCTCCAGTTTAAATTCATGCTGTATATGATGATAGATGCCGGAGAGCTTCTTCTACATAGTCATTTAGCTAAACCGTTTTTATAAGGGTGATTAATTCTTTGAGGTCAAGTACAGCAACCCCCATCTGTTGTGAGAAATGGCAGTAACTTAATCCGTGTTGCTATACATTGAGCTCCATTAAACTCTTGCAGCAGCAGACACCATATTTTATTAGTTTCTGAGTAAGCACTTGGCACATACCTGGTGCTCCAAAGCATTTGTTAGTTTGAAGTGGATTAAGTGTAATTGGCGCATGAAAGGAAGGAGACACAAAGGATTGTAGATGCGACTTCGAGATAAAACCTCTTGCAATCTAAATGTTAAAGTGTCACTGTGGTACAACTATGGAATATGATAAAAATGAAGGACCGCAGTGTGTTCTGAGATGTCTGACGAGGGACTGGAAGAGGCAGGCTCTCTGCAGAAGCCCCTGGGCACTGAGACCTCCTCTGCGAATCCTTAGACCTGCTGTGTGAATGCTGAGGCAAGAAGGAGTTGAGAGGATTGCTGGGCTGGAATCACCAGAACACCTACAAGTCCAAAGCTGTAGCTGTCATTCATTCTTTAAATACACAGAAAATACTGTGCTCCAGTGAGGCTAGGTGATGAGATATGAAATATACTAGACATATAAAAGCACTCCATCTTTCCAGGAGCTCCCCACCAAAGGAAGGAGGCTGGGGGATTAGGTTCCCGGGGTTCCAGAGGTGAAATGCGGTGAACTTGGAATGAGAGCAGCTGGGCAGTGGCCGGGCAGATATTTAAGCGAGGGGTAGAGACTTGGAATAGCCAGTGATTGGGCATCTTACCTCAAGTGCCCTCGGCTCCTGCCCACCTCTCCAGCCTCTGCCCCTCTGCCTGGTATTTGTGGCCCAGCTCCCCGTTTCCTTGGGCACATATCTTTCTATACAGTTTAATGAATAATGGCTCTGCTCCTTTGTTTCTGTGTCATGAGCATAATTAATACTTTGTTCACATGCAAATCTTATTTGTTAGGCAGAACCTTTGAGAACACTGAGGGCAATGGAGCGTCTGTGCACACGTTTCCATCTTCTCACTCTTACACCACGTCAGCTCACAAGGTCCCCTTGGAAATTACTGGCATTACTTCTCTTTCTGCTTCTTTGCGTTTGCTTTCTTCCTCCCTTCTAACTTTCATGTAAGGAAAATCTTTAAAGACAAACCCCTACAAGACAAGAACTTCATATTTTTGTTCTTACCATTGTCTTTTTTAATGTGTTGTGTCATGTTTTTTTCCATTTTATTTACAGTTTTCCAAGAATCTCAGGAAGAGGAAGAAAGAAACAAGAAATTGATGGGAAAGCAAGACCCCCATGACAAATGCTTCATTTTACTTAGTTTTTCCCAGAACCCTGGGAGATCTGTTTTAGTATCACTAATTTATAGCTGAGGAGGGGCTCATTAGGTAGTTAAGGGACTTGGTCAGAAAAACCAGTCTGGAACAGGAGAACCAGATGCGTACTGGTTCTACCCTCTTATTGGCTTCATGAAGTTTCCTTACCAGATCCCAAACCTTAAATGTCCTCAGTGTATGTGCTGACCTTGGAACGAGTTCTGCTCTCTTTCCCCAACAATCACACTGGCTGTGATGGAACCCAAATTCCAATATGACTACAAATTGCCAGTGATAGCAAGTTTTAACTGTCAACTTGGCATAATATAGAATTAACTGGGAATAGAGTTTCAGTGGAGGATTGTCTACATTAGCCTAGCCAAAAGCCATGTCTGTTGGTGGCTGTCTCAATTATAGAAATTGATGTGAAAAGACTCAGTCTAAAAGTGGCTGGCCCCATGCCTGTATTTAATACTAGACTGTATAAAAAGAAAAAAAGTGGGATGAGCCTATGTCTGTCGTAACTGAATGTTCCCATCTCTAGACAACAGATATTACTACTTCTGGTTCTTGTCAGCTTGACTTTCCAGCAATAATGGATTGTAACATGGAATCATGAGCTCAAATAAACTCACCATCCCCTAAAGTTCTTTTGTCAGTGTATTTTGCCACAGGTAAAGAATCACAAGCAGAAGATGTCTGTTTAGAAAGGTTCCTTCTTGCAGAGTGCAGGTTACTGCTGAGGAAGATCACTGCACTACTGAAACTGTGCTAATTTTCCTTTGTTTAATGACACACAACCGCTTCTAAGTTTGTTTGCTTATTTATTTATTTATTTTGATGGATAATTTTCTTTGACCCTACAGTTAGTAATCTGAAATTAATTATAGTGCTTTTTAAAAAAGATAAAAAGTGGCTGTTATAAACCACAGAAGTGACTCAACAACTTTTTAGTGGCAGCAGGAGGAGACCTAAATCTGGAAACTAATGATAACTCCATTCTGAATTTCAGGAAGAAAAAAATCAAGACCATGATGCTCATGCTGCAGACATAACAAAATATCTGAAACGAAAGACAGCTTCTGGACCATGAGAGGAAGGGAAGCCAAGACTGTGTTATTATGCTTCACATGTAAGATGAAGTCAGACTTTTAGCTGAAAGTAAATGGCAGACATTTTGAATGAATGGCTGAATAAATAAAAGAATGAAAGAAGATAGGAGAGAAGGGTAGAAAGAAGGAAGGAGGAGGAAAGAAAAGGGGAAAGAAGAGAAGAGGGGAGTAGTTGTGAGATAGCAAGGAGATTCTTGATCTTATCCTTCTAAGGAGTTTATGACAGATTTAGTTAACAGTTTAGGAAAGCACAAACAAATCCCAGGGAAAGACAAAGGCTGGAGGACGCAGGAAACTCCATGTATAGAGGAAAGACAGAAGAAACTTCAGCCAAGCACATGCTGTGGGAAAAAGCATCGTACTAACATTTAGAGGATACAAATCACCAGAATTAGATAATGTCTACAACACAGCCTCATTCTATACATACTTTTGACTTTGTAACAATCTGGTAATTGAAGCCTTAGAAGAATAACAATAGCAAAAAGATAAAGTCACTTGAGACTACTTCTATTTAAAGTTCAATAATAACCTAATATTATGAAGACATTAAGGGAACTTAGCCATATTCCATTTCTAGGGCATCTCATTCTAATCATCATATGGTAGCTCAAATGATCGCCAAAAGAAGAACAGGAATTGCTTAGGATTAGACATCAACTACTCCTCACTACTAAAATCTTACAAAATATTTCATATTTATAGGCCTGATGGCCATCTTATAGGATTTACTCCTATTTATAACAACATACATTATTATAACACATTACTTCCCATAAGTCTCCTATACAAGTAGCCTGTATTTCTGTTTTATTTTTATAGAAAAGACAAGCAAATACTGTGAGTGCCATCAGTGTAGACTACTGTGTGCACTTCAAGTGCTCTACAATAGAATCGGTTGACCATGCATGGCACACCTTGCAAGATGGACATGTGTTTAAAGTGTCAGGTCTTGACAAATGAGATACATTCAATTTTAACAATCAGGAAACAAAAATATGAGAATATACTAAACACTATATATTGTGTTAATTCAGTTATGATGCCCAATGTTAATTAAAATTTTGTTATTGTATTCAGTAATCAAATCATTGTGTCGGATAGTTTTGCTTTCTAAGGTTAGTGGGGTTTCACTGAAGGTTAAGGGTACCTGAATACAAGGACAGACTATGCATGTGCACTGCATCTCATCATAGCATCATGTGTATCATCCTGTCTTCTACTCTAACCAAACCTGTCTTAAATCATCTTGTAAACTTCAAAGTCAAATAAGCCATGAATGACCCTGTCGTCTCAGACTTAGGGACATGACTTTGCTCTGGGTGAACATTTTATTGCACATTTGAGCATGTCAGAGTTATAATAACAATACCATCTCACATCAGAAGAGCTTACAAAGTATTGCATTTGTTTTTTTATTGAAAAATCATAATGTTTATATGAAGAGATGTTACAATAACACTTACCACCATGATGTAACGTGGTCTATACTGAATGGTTCCAAATAAACCCAATATGACAACTATTATATGCAGGAAATTTCCAAGAATGGGTGCCCACTGGAAGCCGAGGAAGTCGAAGATCTGCCTCTCCAGGGCTGAAATCTGTAACCAAACAAATGTAGTTTATTAGTGCTACCTGTACTCCATTGCATCTTCATCATGTACTCCCAGTTACAGAAATCTATCTGCATATTCAATTCTAATCATTCTTGTAGAATTTATCATTTCAACCTTTATTTCTTCCTTTCTTAATTTCTCTCCCCCTTTCTTTCTCTTCCTCCCCCTCCTTCTTTTCTCTCTTCCTTCTTCCCTTCTTTCTTTTATGCGATCCTGGTGATCAAGCTGAAATGGTCATGGGTTATAGAATAAAATATTTCTTGTCTATGTAAAGATGTGTCCAGTTTGTTTTGCAGAACAATTGTTTACCTATGAAAGACATATTGTGCTTGTTTAACGCTACATTTGTTTAATTATGTAAAGGTGTGTTGTTTTCATTTATGCTGTATTTGTTTAACATGGAGGAAGCAGCAAAGCAGGAGAGAGAGTACATAGAGGAGGTAAATGAGCCTCAGGGTAGCACATATGTTAGCAGAAATGGGTTAATTTCAGTTACACACACACAAAAGAACTAGCTAGATATAAGCCTAAGTTAAGACTGGGCATTCATAATTAATAATCAGTCTCTGTGACATGATTTTGGAGCTGGTGATCCAAGAAAGCCTGCTGTAATTACATATGCTAGACAAGAACTCTATGACTGGTCTACATCATCATCAGACTTCTTCACTAGGAACTATTTAATGAACTGCGTAATGTAGTTTTCCTCAGAAAATGTAAAATAACATTGAACATTCTGACTTCAAGTATAGATTTTGAACCTATCTCACCTCATGATCTAGATGTACGTATTTCTAAAGTCATTGTCTTCATAAAAAATCCCAGGCATAGAATATGCCTTAAATAATTTACTGTTTATGACAACTGCACAGAGAAGACCAAGAGGTGAGTGACCAGCTCTTCAGTTGGACAGCCCAGTCTCTATGTCTTAGGCAGCTTCACTAGCCTGCTGGAAGGCAAGCCACCTCCAGGCAGATAGCACTAACACCCCCATATAGATCAGACCCTGCAATCTACAAGTCCTACTCCACCTTCAAAGCCACGCATTCCATGCAACCTCAGTAGCTTTCTGAGGCACAGACTACAACTGTACAGAGTGGGCCAAGAGGTGAAAGACCAACTCCTCAGCTGGACAGCCCAGTCTTTAGACCCTAGGCCCCAGGGCAAAATTCCAGGCCCCTCACCCACCTACCTCAGGTTCACTAGCTGGCCAGCAGCCAGCCTCCTATAAGCAAGCTGCTCCAACTTCTTCTCAATGATCAGATCCTGTAATCAACAAGTCTCATTTCAGCCCCAAACACATCCATTCCTAGAGACCTCAGCAGCTCCCTGAGATACAGACAGTGATTGAACAGAGTGGTCCAAGACCAGCTCCCTAAGAAACAGACAACTACTGCAATGATTGGTCCTAGAGAGAATCCCTGAGCCACAGACACCGACTGCAAGGATTAGACAAAGATGCAAAGAAGCTACCTGCACCAATTGGAAGAAGAGACAGGTAGGCACCATTGCAAGAATACATTCAACCATCTGAAAAGAAACATGGCAACACCAAACCCCAGTGGTCCTGAATATCCTAACCCAAAAGAAGCATAAGAAAACAACCTTAAATATAATTTTATGAAGATGATAGAGGCCCTTAAAGAGAAAATAAAAATTCCCTTAAAGAAATGGAGGAAAAATCAAACAAAAAATTGGGAAAAAAATCAATAAATCTTTTAAAGGAAATCTAGAAAAAAATCAAAAAGGTGAAAAAAAATAGTTCAAACAGTTCATGATTTAAAAACTGAAAGAGAAGCAATAAAGAAAACACAAAGGAGGAAACTCTGGATAAGGAAAATTTGGGTAAATAAACAGAACTAGAAATGCAAGCATAACCAACAGATTACAATACATGGAAGAAAGAATCTCAGGGGTTGAAGATAGATTCATAGGTCAAATAAACTGTTAAACAAATTATTAAAAAAAAGTTTCAAGGAAATCTGGGATAGCATGAAAACACCAAATCTAAGAATAATAATGAGAGCTCCATCTCAAAGTCACAAAACATATATTCAACAAAATTATAGAAGAAAATTTCTCAACCTAACATAGGATATGACTATAAAGGTACAAGAAGCTTACAGAACACCAAAGAAACTGGACTGAAAAAAATTCCCTTAAAATATATAGCAGACAGAGGATTGACCTCCAAAATAAAGAACTCAATAATTTAGACATCAAAATACCAAACAATCCAATTAAAAGTGGGGTACAGATCTAAATAGAAAATTCTAAACAGAAGAATCTCAAATGACTGAAAGACACTTAAGGAATTGCTCAATATCTTTAGTCATCAAGGAAATGCAAACCAAATTATACCAAATTATACCAGTCAGAATGTCTAAGACCAAAAACATCAATAATAGCTTAAGTTGTGGCATTCTGTAGAGAGATTTCCTGATTCGGCATCAGCAGCAGAAAAAACGCTGTGTCATTTTAAAGCGCAGCTTCTTGGGGCTGTGCTGCCAGAGTGAACTCTGGCTTTAAAGCATTTCAATGGCTTTTATGGGACTGGATGTTTGTGTTCCAGCTTGGGATCGGAAGGAGAGTTCTCTGAGACCTTGCTGATGGCTCAGCGCTCCCCAACTGCACCTGGGCAGAGGGCCAAATCAGGCTTAGGCAGGCGGGAGAGCATGGCGGAAGAGATGTGTTTTCAGACTGCGCAGTCAGTGCTCTGCATGTCAGATTTGGTTGTAACTTGGATAAAAAGAGTTTCTGTGCTGCACGCTCAGTCTCAAAATTAAACCACTGAGTGAGGCTCCAATATGGACTTGCTGTGTGCCTGGAACTGTTCTCAGCTCAGGGGCACCAATGGATCTGGGGCAGGAGCAGCTGCCATGCTGAACTGTGCTGGTCTCAGGCATGAACTACCATAATTACCATAAAAGCAGCGCAGTTAAGGTTTCAACTGGGCAGGACACAGGGGGTACCGTATTACCTGTACATGGCGCAACTTAAGTTTTTAAGAACTGCTTAACATTTTAAAAAATGCTCCTGGATAGTAAAAAAATGTTACAGATTCACAATAAAACAGATTCAGACATAAAAGACCACACTGTTGGATGAATGTACATAGGCTTGAGAGAGAGAAGAAAAAAAATATAGAGAATAAAGTTAATGGTTTAAAAAAAAAGGTAAAGTCTTTAAAGAGACAGAGTACAGATAGTTAAGAGATTAAAAGAAATAAAGAAAAATAAGCCACGTAAAAATGGAAAATTCACAGAGAGTCTGGATTATGTACATTGTGTTTTCTTTAAAATTTTTGACTGTGAAGGAGCTAAGTACAGAGAGACATTTCATTACATGGGCTGCCAAGCTAAACCAGAATGGATATAAGGGTATTATGATTTCAAAATTTGGGTCTAAGGATATGATGCTTTGGAGAGGGTCTTCGTTTGTTTTCACAGAGGACCAGACCCTGTGGATTTCTTCTATCCCGATATGGTATGATAGACCACGACCTCCCGAAAGTTCCTGTGAACACCCTTAAAAAATTACTTCGCTCAACTGCCTACTGAGATGACCCTGGCACACAGGTTATACCATAAAAGACCTAATTAACGACGCCCCCATTCAGCAGGAAGCAGTTTGGAGAGAAAAAACTGTGCCCATGTTCCCAAAATATTGTTTATAAATGTTCTTTTACATTTAAAGGGGGAAATGATATAGGTATGAATAATTTACATTGATATGGATTTTAAGGTCAATTTTGTTATAGGTATATATGTTTCTGATCTTGATTAAGGTATTGTGATTGTGTAGTTCATTTAAAATGTAATGTATAATAGGAAATATAGGTTGTTGATGGATAATCATAAAAAATAGTCAAGTTTGTAGTCATGTTACTTAGATTTTCTAGATATATAGAGATATATTTCAGATAGGCATTCTTCATATCTCTCAAAGGCTGCAGAATATGGCATTTAAAATATTTTAATAACTTAGGACTTTTCATGACAATGAGACATATCTGCTCCTGGCGGCACCAATCTACTTCGAGAGGAAGATGGGCATCGAAGAGGATCCTTATGGAGTTTGATAGCCATTTGGGTAAGAAACTGCTCTTGCCTGGACTGTTGCATAAAATGGACAAAGAGAGCCCACAGAGAGAGGACTGCTGAACTTGCCTAATGGTGAGATGGTCTTTCGGGTTTCCTGACTCATGAAACAGTCTACGAGACATTCTGCAGGACACAGCAGAAAGTGACTGAACTGTCTTTGGAATTTCCTGCTTGATGAAAATGTCTACTGGATACTATGGGCCTGAAGGCTGAAGATGGATGCCCCAACGGTACAAAAGAACTTTGGGTGACTGTCCAGGCAGCAAGATGTCTCTGTCATTTCTAGAGTTTTCTTATTTCTTGTTTGCTTAGGTAATATTATATCCTTCTGGAGTCTTTGATGGAGTTGAAGAATGAATAGATAGTTATAGTTTTCCTTAGTTATGATAAAAGATAAAATAGATATAAATATTGTAACTGTAATTCTTGCTTGATAACTTTTTGTTATATGTAATTTTACTATGTTAAAGTTAAAGCCTTTCTTTTTTGTTTAAACAGAAAAAGGGGAAGTGATGTGGGAGTGTCATATATCAATCTGTTGATTTCATTGATTAAGCAATAAATAAACTGCTAGGCCCATTTGATAGGCCCACCCTTAGGTGGGTGGAGTAAACAGAACAGAATGCTGGGAGAAAGAAGCTGAGTCAGGGAGTCGCCATGATTCTCACACTCCAGACAGACGCAGGTTAAGATCATTCCTGGTAAGCCAGCTCGTGGGCTACAGCAGATTATTAGAAATGGGCTAGTCCAGGTGCGAGAGCTAGCCTAGAAGAGGCTAGATAGAAATGGGCCAAGTGGTGTTTAAATGAATACAGTGTGTGTGTTGTTATTTCGGGTAAAGCTAGCCGTGCAGACGGCCGGGTGCCAGGGACGCAGCCCTGC